TACCACTGGGTAGTAGATATAAGATATAAAAATGCATATAGCACAAAGCAAATTAAAAGCATAGATCTCTGTTATGATAAATTAAATGGTGTCCTCAGGATATGTAGATATTACCCTATGTCACAGGTAGGCCACACCAAGATGTCCAGCTCCACACCAGGCTCATTGTCCCCTCTCTCCATTGCTAGATTATGCTGATATTGCTAGGATTACGTGTGATTTGGCACATATTAAATTGCAGCACCACTTATCCCTGCACCTTTGACCCCAGGCCTTAAAGGGAGCCAGTGCCTTTAGCCCATAGATCCTCCAATTCTACTTGGCAGGATCTTGAGCCTGTACTTTTTCTGTATCACGAATTGTCCCTTGGGAGTATGGTCAACGGCCTGGAAGTGACTCTGGATAGGCCCCTGGCCCAGATAAGGAGCAACTAATGATATCACGGCTCGAGGCAGCAGAACGGCTATTAACATCACACCAGAATTCCCGGCAGATATCCTCAATTTGACATTGAAACGGTCTCTCCAACTCTGAACCTCCATGCTCTCCCTGCAGTGCCAATGTCCAATGCATCGGCCATCTTGGACACGCCACAGGTTATTCGAGGTACTATCTCAATCCTTCTTTGAGGTACTATGCTTCCAGGCCTTTGTTGAAGAGTTGCTGTATCCCAGTGGGGACCGGGATATCCCCCACCTGTCCAAAGGGGGACGGGGGTAACGGGACTGTGGACCAGTCTGGAGGAAGCATGCAGTGTCAAAATATTGGAACATATAAATAAATACCAAAAAGGGTCTACAGACCGATTCAATCCCTTTACATTGTAATCCATGCCCTTTTTTTAGTTTCAGAAAGTTCACATGTACAGGCATAGAAAGAATTCTAGCCCACTGGCGAGGAGGCGATAGAATTAGGAGACTGGCCCAAAGTGAAACTTTTTGGATATATAAACTAAACACATTGGAACCAAATGGTCTAAAGTGGATTTAGATCTAGTTTGTTTTCTGTGACAGGAGACAAACTGAATGGAGCCATATGAGGTCTCAATAAAATTGAGATAGGGATATGTACTTTATTTTTGGCAACTATAAAATAAGTATTTAAATCATGAGATAAAACATTTTTAGGTATTAATATTACAGGGAATTAAACCATGTTATTATTATAGCACTTTAATTGTATTGTCACTTTACATAATGGATTTACATAATTATATAGGAACACATATTTTTTTATTTAAGATGGTTCTTGTTGTGGAAATAAGGTCTACACATATTTCCTAGTTAGTGAAAAATGTCTATTTACTCATTTCACGATATATATATATATAGCTAAGCACACATGTTATAATCAAGATGGCTGCTAGAAGCTTCTAGCTCCTTCCCCCTCCCCTCCCTTTCTTCTTCCTAACATTGACTAACTACCTCGTGCACCAAGATGGCGCCGGGAAACCGTGGGAGACCCTCATGGCCCCGGTGACATCACCTACAGTAGGCAGAGCATTGAAGCAACCACTTAACACCTAACCAATTATTGATGTATTATTCCATGTTATCTCTGACAATGCTTATGATGTAATTTTGCTTTAAAAGGGACTTGCCGTCCCCTCTGAATAAACATTCCTCAAGTTATTCAACAACCTGGAACCTGTGTCTGGTGTGAATTACTTCAGGGAGCGTGCACGCATTGTTTCATTGATTTGGCCAGGGGCAGATACACAAAGAAATAATCAATACTTTTAATTGATTTTTCCATTTCAATTGGCGCCCAACGTGGGGCCACCGGAGGGCCGGTTCGGAGGGCCGGAACCAACGGACCGGAGCGGACCTCCGGAAAGTGGGACAAGCGGAGCCTGATCACCTCCATAATACAGCCGTTGCCTGTGTTATTCTCCTGTTTTGTGTCGGTCTGCCTCCGAGTCCACTTCCGGCTTCCAGAAGGCTACTAGAGACAGGTAATTAACTCATCCGGTGTGCCTTTTTTTAGGTGAACCTGTCAATTGTCTATCTGCCTCCTGTATTCGTTTGTGTGTGTGTGTGCGTGTTTCTCATACTTCTTTTAAGTTAGCTTGACTGCCTAGCGGGCAGGGGACGCATTACAGCCGGTGGGGCTGGGATTTTACAGCCGGAGGGGCTGGGATTTTACAGCCGGTGGGGCTGGGACTTTACAGCCGGAGGGGCTGGGATTTTACAGCCGGTGGGGCTGGGATTTTACAGCCGGTGGGGCTGGGATTTTACAGCCGGAGGGGCTGGGATTTTACAGCCGGTGGGGCTGGGACTTTACAGCCGGAGGGGCTGGGATTTTACAGCTGGTAGGGCTGGGATTTTACAGCCGGTGGGGCTGGGATTTTGGTTGTTCATTACTGTGCTCCCATTAACACCTGGGGGTATACCGGGACCAGCCTGGTGGGTGGAGGCTGAGGATTGCTATACTTCGATTATTTGGCACCGGTGTCATTAACATGTACATGGCCATTTTACTCTCTGTCATTCTGTGGTTTTTGTTCAATTGTTGTTACAGCGTGGGTACCCTTGGTGTGTGTGTGTGTATTGTGTGGTTAGTTCTGGACTCCGGAGTCTATGCTCATTTATATGTTTGTGATTTTTGCAAATGTCTTCTCATTAGCGCAGCCACGTTCATCTTTTCTTTTGTGCTTTATCTCTCCTGTGCCTGTTGCCCAGAGCTGTGTTAGTCACCCACGCTCATTCGCTCCCGTCCGTGACCACCACCCCGGGTGGGCGGATCTCCGTGACTAGTCTACGTTTGGGGAAGACGCACGGGGCTCAAGTTCTCGTGGCAGTCGAGCACTGTAGACACTCTTTTTCCCCTCCTCCTTTATACCTCCTCTATTCATCTGTCCTTAACAAGTGGCACGCTTTGATTAGTCAAGATGGGGCAGGAACATGCTAGACCTGCTAAGGGCTTGTTGGCTTGCGATATTGTGAAAGAAAGAGCAGGGGAGGATGCAATGATGAAACTTAAAAAGATTGCTAAGGTGTGTGGCTTCCAGATGTTGCCCAGTGGGAGATTGCAGCCAGAGTTTTGGCGAAAGCTACTCATAGACAAGGAAGGTTTACTGTTGGACAACGGACTCACAAAGGTTGCAGAGGCCTGGTATCGTGTAGCTAGAGGTTTGAAACGGGAAGGTTGGGTCGAGGAAGAGTTGGAGTTTGAGGGGCAGATTGTACATGTTTACCATAGGAATGTTCTCAATGATAATGTCACTTCTATTGTTCCACGGCCACCACCCTATGATGGCGCCCAGAGCGCAACAGTAACCTCCCGCCCTGCTTCCCCCGTCACAGCACAGACCCCACCCCCCGGGGATGTATCTCCAGCCCCCACCCCCCTTTGTCCCGTGCTCGGTGTAGATGGAGCTTACTATTTCCCAGTGCCACACCACTCGTTCCCACCCACTCCCATGCACCAACCCCCCTGTGACCAATCCCCCCCTTTCAGCCATCATCCTGTTTTGCCCGTCGGAGCTTCCCCACCTCCATGCCCCCTGTTACCTTTCCCAGGGCCTGTCCTTACTCCGAGTATTACCCCGACTATTCCCGTCTCAACTATCGATGTCCCATCCTCCTCCTCCTCTCAATCCCTCTCCCCCCTGAGTACCCCGTCGCTGGTAAACCCCGTTCCCTCACCCTCTTCATCCATCCTGCATCCTGCGCCCTCCGCTCCTACCCACTCAACTGCCCCCGTCTCCCCGGACCCCCGTCCCCCGGTTGCCTTCCCTTCTCCAGTATCCTCAGGAATCCCCGTGACCCCTACCCCTGTATCCCCATCTTCCCCCATTCCTTCTCATCCCCTTTCCTCCTCCTCCATTTCCAAGGATCCCCCGCCCCTAGTCTCCACTCTCATGAATCTTGTCCAGCCCGCTAGTCCCAGTTCCCTTGCCTCCGCCCCCTTACCCACGGATTCCCCTCCCATCCTCAAGGTCCCGCCTACTGCTCCTCCTCCAGTGTTTCCTCCTCCTGAAACCCCGGCCCCCTCTACCTCATTGTCTCCCACTCCCGCGGCCGATTTGCCGTCCCTGATCTCCGCCCTCACCGCCCTAACCCAACTCTATGCCGTCACCCCTCCAGCTCCTCCTCCAGTGTCTCCTCCTCCTGAAACCCCGGCCCCCTCTACCTCATTGCCTCCCACTCCCGCGGCCGATTTGCCGTCCCTGATCTCCGCCCTCACTGCGCTAACCCAACCCCCCGTTGCCACCCTCCCAGCCCCTTCTCCCGTGTCATCTCCCCCCAGCATCCCTGCTCCCCCGACCGTACTACAGCCCCTTGACCCCGTCCCTCTGACCCCTCCCCCCGTGAACTCTGACACACCCACGACCGATGACCTGCCTGGTTCAATATCCGCCCTCTTCACTGCTGTTACTTCCCTGGTTAATTCCGCGATCCCCGTGCCACCTCCCATCGACGTACCTCCTCTTCCTCCTCCCCCTCCCCCTGAGCCTCCAACCCCACCCTTGTCCCCTGCCGATGTCCCCGAGCCCTCTGATCCCATCTCCGCCCTCGCAAATGTCCTCAACACCCACCTTTCACGCCCTACCCAATCGGCCCCCGTGACAACCCCTTCCACAGCCTTGATCCCTCATATCCCTTCCGCTGGCCCTAGTTACCCAATCATGGTGGTTGGATCCGAGGTGTCGGGGACATCTGACCAACCCTATGCGATGGGTGCCTCTCCCCAGGCTTCAGGTTTCCACCCAGCTACCTCACCTGTCACCGCCCTCCCTGTTGTCCCAGCTACAGCTACTCCTGAGACTACTCTCCGTCGTGGCCCAGTGCTGCCCGCCGAGGTAGTTGTGGTTGACCAGAATTCACCACACCTGGGGGTGAATAGGCTCCCCCAACAGCAAACTATCCCTCAGGGATATACCCCAATCAACCATGGTGCGGATGGTGCTCCACCTATGTATGTTACCCAAGCTGCTACCCTTGTGACCTCACTCCCTGATCCTGAAAAACACCCCATGCCCTTTTTCCGTAGGATGGCTCAGATCCGTAAAACATACTCCGCTGCTTGGCGGGATCTCATTAGTCTATGTGAAATAAAGGCTGGTGATGCATACTGGCCTATCATGGAACGGAGCTTTAATGATGCTCCACTTACTTCTGATACTGACTTTCGTTCTGGTGAAATTTTTTGTGAACAGCTTCGTGCCTGGGCACAGGATAAACTAGCAGATCAGGCTACTTGCATCAATGATATCCTACAGGACAAACTTGAGACAGTTGAAAAGTATCACTCTAGGTTGACTCAGACTTTTTCTGACTTAGGGTTTAGTACTTACAACAAAGCACACACCCAGATGCTATCTGCAGCTTTTGTGGCAGGGCTTCGGGAAAATATTCGTAAGGGTTTAGTTTTAGCCCGACCTGAGTATAGAATTATTCCACTGGACACTCTCTTGTTGGTAGCCAAAGGCTTAGAGTCTGTTATGCTTCCTACACAGCGTAGAACTAGTCCACTGATGTACGCTACCTCCACCCCAATCGCAGGTCCAACCCAGGGCTCTCAGATGCTCCCCCAACAGTTCACCCAGCCCCCCCCGACACTGCCTGCACCAATTCCTTTCTCCCGTGACCAGACTGTCACGACAATCCGGACCTGCTTTAATTGTAATCAGCCAGGTCACTTTAGGAGAGATTGCCCACACCCTAGAGTGCTCCGTCAACAGACCCTCAGGTACCAAAACCCCCATGTCACCAGCTATAACTTCCCCTCCACTGGTTATCTCCCTGCCCTACCCCATCCACAGCTGCCTCAGCTACCTCCTCCTCCTCCCCCTCCCCCGCCTCCTGAGTACTCCCAAGCCCAGCTCCCCGCAGCAGAGGCCCGTGCATACACTTCACCCTCCACTGAAGGGTATGATACTGATGACTTCCAAGACAACCATCCTCATCCCCGCCATGCCCTCCGTCCACCCCGCCCACCCATGCATTCTGTCAACCCTCCCTCCACCTCCCGCCGGTACCAGGGACCAGATCAGGCCCACCTTGATCTATTGCAATAGGTAACTGGCAAGCCTGTGTCAGCAACCCCTGCTATGGCAGTGTCTGCAGGGGATGGGGGAGGACCCTTGGCTACTGTAGTTCTCCCCGTGGAGGGTCACCCAACCACTTTTTTAGTTGACACAGGTGCAGCCCGTAGTGTCCTTAGGGAACAAGACCTGCCAGATCCTTCCTTCCTGTCTGACACTGATGTATCCTGTGTTGGGGTGGATGGTACACCACGCAGTAACCCCCTTACCAAGCTCTTACATGTAGGTTCACACATCCTGTCCCGTTTTGTTGTTTCTTCCACTTGCCCCATTAACCTCCTAGGTGCTGATGTCCTCTCCCGGCTCCAGGCTTCCATAACCTTTACTGCAGATGGACAAGTTGAGTTAACACCCCCCTTATCACAAAAAGATACTTCTGTGCTCTGCTCACTCCCCATCCTGTTGAACCTAACAGACAATACAGGGAATGCACGGGTCACACACACCCCCAGTGCTCTGGATCGTATCCCCCAAGAACTTTGGTCCACCGGCCCGGATGATATTGGACGCTTACATGTACCCCCCGTCTTGGTCCAGCTCCTGCCTGGAGCACTTCCTCCTCGTCGACCTCAGTATCCTCTAAAGCCAGCACAAGCTGATGCTATCACCAAACAAGTTGAGTCTCTGCTTGCCAAAGGTGCCCTCACCAAGTGTACGTCTCCATGCAACACCCCACTCTTCACTGTTAAAAAACGAACTATTAAGGGCCAACCCGACCAGTACCGCATGGTACAGGACCTCCGTGCCGTTAATGATGTAACCATTAAAGACACTGCTATTGTTCCAAACCCCCACACCCTTTTGTCCCAAGTGCCACCAAATTCAACTGTTTTTACTGTTGTGGATCTAGCTAATGCCTTTTTCAGTGTTCCCCTTGACCCTTCCTGCCGTTTTCTCTTTGCCTTCACACATGAAGGACAACAATATACCTGGACTGTCATGCCTCAGGGAGCTCAGAATTCTCCCACACAGTTTGCTCATGCCATGTCCCTGGTTTTGGATCCCTGGCAGAAATCTCACCTGGATGTTGTTCTACTTCAATATGTTGATGACCTCCTTCTCTGTGCTCCTAATTTGTTTATTGCAGAACGTGACTCAGAAGATCTTCTATGTTTCCTCGCTACTGCTGGGTGCAAGGCCTCAAAATCAAAGCTGCAATGGTGCCGGCCCTCTGTGGTCTTCTTGGGACATTGCATTTCCCATGGCACCAAACACCTAACCTCTCAACGGGTGCAAGCTATCCTTCAACTCCCATTACCTGCAACCCACCACTCTCTTCATGCTTTCTTGGGTCTCATCACATACTGCAGGTCCTGGATACCTGAAGCATCCAAACTCATGCAGCCTCTCTATGATGCACTCCGGAGTGAACCTTTTCACCTCACTGAAGAAACTATTAACTGTTTCCATACTCTGAAACGAGCTATTGCTTCTGCACCTGCCTTGGGCCTACCCAACTACCAACTCTCTTTCAATTTGTTTGTCTCTGAGAGATCAGGACATGCTTCCGGAGTCCTTACTCAGAAACATGGGTCCAGACAACGGCCCATTGGCTATTTTTCCTGTATGCTTGACCCTGTTGCAAGGGGCAGCCCCTCTTGCCTCCGTGCTGTGTTTGCCGCCAGTGCCCTCCTGGACAAGACTAATGACTTTGTGCTTGGCCATCACCTTACCGTGTTGGCCCCCCATGACATTACTGCTATCCTGCAACAAGTTCAACCCAAGCACCTTTCCTCCCAACGCCACCTCCGCCTGCAAACCTCATTGCTTTTACCTGATAACATAAAACTTCAGAGATGCCTAACCCTGAACCCGGCCACTCTTCTGCCACTTCCCAAGGGGGGGATTGTGTACCACTGGTACAGCCTTGATATCAACCCGGAAGTTCTAACAAATCTGCAACTACCTACATTTGCACCTCCACATGATGAACAATCAATGGCCCTACTTCACTGCACTTTGTGGATTAGGGATGAACCAGGCCCTGATATGAATTACGAGGCAGAAGTATTCCAACTCAAAGAAATCCAAATTACCCTGACTGACTTGTTTTGGGACCTCACAGGTACCATGCTTATCTTGGTCCACCTCCCAGAGAGTGTGACACATCTCTATCACCATTGGGAAACATCGATCCCACACATATCTCTCACCAGACCCCCCGACATCTCGTGGAAAGACCTAGGCCCGATGGCCAAAACCTGGAGTCAAATGACCCCAGAACAACTGACTTCTATGAGAATCAACAAAAAGACTATTAATTGCTGTACAACTGGGCACCCCAGGTACCATACAGAAGCCTGTGAGGGTCCACTTACCACAGACTGTGACCTCGATATCCCTCATGATTGCTTTGAACAAATGAAAATGGAAACTACACATCTACCAACTGTCTACGAAGCTGCACTACTCAACCCGGACCAAACATTATTTGTGGATGGGTCAAGATTTGCTGATGAACAAGGGCAATATCACACTGGGTATGCAGTTACTACAGAATGTCAAGTGTTACAAGCAGCTGCCCTGCAACCAAATAAGTCTGCTCAAGAAGCTGAATTGACAGCTCTAACTGTGGCTTGCAAATTGTCTGAAGGGTTGCGTGCCAACATTTACACGGATTCAAGATATGCCCTGGGAGTAGCACATGATTTTGGCTTAATTTGGAAGACCAGAGGATTTCTTACGGCCACTGGTACCCCAGTAAAGCATGGGACAGCCATTGCAGAGCTGATGGACGCATTGGAACTTCCAGCTGAGGTGGCAGTACTGAAGGTAAAAGCCCATGGAAGACTAGACACAGAAGAAGCACGTGGCAATCACCTGGCTGATCAAGCAGCTAAAGAAGCAGCACGGCAAAGATGGGAAGTGGACAGAAGAGTGGCCACAGATACACTGCCTATCTATACTATGCAAACATTGCCTACAGACCTCAGGCTTCTGAAGGAACAACAAGCTGCTGCTACTCCCCAAGAGAAACAAGGTTGGAAGAACAAGGGAGCTATACTCCGTGATGATGTTTACACCATTAATCTCAAGTTCTGCCTACCCAGAAGTATGTACCCAGCGGTGGTCCAATGGGCCCATGGACCAGCTCATCTGTCAAAACTCCTGATGAATTCACTGATTGACAAATATTTCGAAGCACCAGGCATCACCACCTTAACACAACATTACTGTAAGTCATGTACTATATGTGCTAAATGCAATCCTGGAAAGATTATAAAGACTGCACCTAATCACCTAGCCAAGCCGCAATATCCCTTCCAGAGGATCCAGATTGATCACATTCAGATGCCAAAGAGTGGACGTTATGAATATGCATTGGTCATGGTGGACATGTTTTCAGGATGGCCAGAGGCCTTCCCAGTGACTAATCTCACAGCGAGGACTACAGCCAAATATCTCTTGACAGAAATTGTTTGCCGCTATGGGGTTCCAGAAGTAATTGAAAGTGACCAAGGGACCTCCTTCACTGCCTCGCTAACACGGGAAGTCTGGTCAGCACTGGGGGTGACCCTTGCATTCCACACACCATATCACCCACAGAGTAGTGGTAAGGTAGAGCGCATGAATGGCACTTTGAAAGCCAGAATGCTTAAAATGTCACAAGAAACTAACATGCCCTGGCCCGAGAGTCTTCCACTAGCGTTATTCAGTGTAAGGTACACTCCCAGAGGAAAATACAGTTTGTCACCTTATGAGATTTTGTTTGGTACAGCACCCAGGTTAGGTTGCTACTTTCCCCAACAGCTTCAGATTCAGTCAGACGCTATGGTAGACTATGTGACTGCCCTTTCACATGCCTTGACCAAGATACATGCCCAAGTGTTTTCTTCTATTCCAGATCCTGAGTCGAATACAGGTACACACAAGCTGCTTCCAGGTGATTGGGTTATGGTTAAGAAGTTCCTCAGGAAACACACCCTAGAACCGAGATTTGATGGTCCTTATCAAGTGCTCCTGATTACAGCAACGTCAGTTAAACTAGCTGGAAAAAGTTCCTGGATACACGCTTCACATTGCAAAAAAGTGCCTGCTCCAGGAGAAGCTGATCTTGTTGAAACATGAATTTATTATGTGTCTTGTGTTTTCTTGTATTGTTGCATTTTGCCTGGGCCCAACAAGTGGCCATAACCAAAGATAATCATGTTTACACTTTCTGGTACAATTCTTCTGATACTGATGTAGCTACATACACCTTTGATTACTG